GAACTCACATTTAATAAAGTCATGGTAAGCTGATCAAACAGTGACTACCTGCTGGTCAGTCATAAGCTCAAGGTTTTTAGATTTATTTTGGTTGTCATCTAAATATAAACTTAAAGGGCTTTTCATCAGGCCAAAGACACCTCTGTCCAATTCATACCTGGCTCTCTGGACAGAAGGAAAATGTACATGCTTCTAACCCAAATCTGTTTTTACTAGGGCTCAAAGGTATAAGTCTTACTGCTGTTTTACAGATACCCAATATCTGCTTTTTCTATTTCAGTACAGATTGGTAATGCTCATATGTCTAAAACTTTTATGCCCTTTTGTGTAATAAAGTTGATATAGGCTTCAGAGGATCAAAAGTCATAAAGCTTAGATCCACTCCTCACAGGTCAAAGACTCCAGATAAGTACAGCTTTTGTTATCCCACCTGTCTGTTCCTGAGGATGGGATTTTCTCCTCTGGTCTTGGGACTCCTGCCCTTCCTGATCACTAAAACTATAAACCTAAGAGTTGTGATTGCGTTTTAACTTCCATTCCCAGTTTAAACATATCTCAAACAGGTTTCCGCTTCTGGCAGATGCATCCAAGCATCAGTTGCTGACCACAGCCTGCTCCTAAGGACTGAGAGCTCTGGACTTGCTGTGGATGTGAACGGGTCCAGGCAATGTGAACCCTCCCTGTCTCCTCAACAGAGTCTGCCAACCAGATGCTTCTGATAAATATCCCCACTGCCCAAATTCCCGCTTTGCTTTTGACTAACAATTCAGCCTGCTTGGACCCCTGACTATGGCACCCCAAAGTCAGCAGGAAGTAGCACAAAAAAGAATACGTTGTCCCCTTTCCCTGGTTGAGATGCTAAGTCAAAAGAAAACTCCCTTACATAGGGAACAAGATGACAATAAAAATTGTTCACTAGTAACTCAAGATTGGTGGTCTCTTTGGGGATCCTTGAGACTTGGGCACAACACATTCATGTTTTGTCACGGGTGTTTGGTCACCTGGAACTGGAGTTACAGACAGTTATGAACTGCCATGTGGGTGCTGGGAATTGAGCCTGGGTCTTCTGGGAGAGCAGTCAGTGCTCTTAAGCCCAGAGCCACCTCTCTGCCCACACCTTTTTATTCAAGACAGGATTTCTCTACATAGTCTTGGCCATCCTGGAACTCAACTATGTAAACCAGGCTGGCCTCAAACTCAGATCCAAATGCCTCTGCCTCCTGAGTGCTAGGATTAAAGGGATGTGCCACCATTCACACCGTGGTTCACTCTTATAATCTCAGCACTTGGGAGGTAAAGACAAGAGGGTTAGGAATTGAAGTCCATCCTGGGTTACACAAGACCCTGTCTCAGAAAAACAAGCTATGACCACTATGATCTCCAGAGCACCAGGGCAGGAATGAGCTCCTGGATCTACTCACCCCGCCAGGATCTCATGGTCTGACACCTTTACACTGGATATGCCATCTCTGGCTTCATCTAGCGTCTGCACTGGCTCAGGCTTCCGAGAACGGCAGTCCCAGCATCGGATGCTGGAATCGATAGACCCTGTGAGGTCAACATGAAGGTGAGGTCAGGTTTGGCTCCTTGGGCAGCAACCATTTTCTAGCTGTCCTGACCCTAGACTCACCAGACAGGATGACTGTGGCCTCTTCGTTAAATTGAACGGTGTTCACCTTCTGAGAAACAGGAATTACTACTTAGAGGAGGTTTTTTTTTGGAAGACTGGGATAAAGGAGAGACTCGTTCAAGTTAGAGCAAGGACACATGCTACTGGTAAGGGAGGTGAACAGGTTCTTGGGCACACGGGAAAGACAGTAATGGAAGGATCTTCCTCGAACCACCTACACGCCAATATAGATCTCCACAATGCACACGTTAATGGGGTCTTCTGGCTTGTACTCACTCCAGCGTGGCCCCGAAATTTGCGCACGACCTGTCCAGTTGCCACATCCCACAGCACCACCGTCTTGTCCCCACCACCAGAGCAGAGATGGCTGTTGTCAAAGGAGCTGGCGGGCAGGAAAGGGAAGGTCATTATCAACTCCCGACCCTAGCCTCTGCGCTCCTCATCTCAGTCTGGCCTCGTGCTCACCCGGCTGCATCCAACACTTCGTAGCCATGGCCACTGTACGTCCGCAGCAGCGTCCCACGCAGCGGGTTCCACAGCTTCAGGGTTTTATCGCTGCCACACGTCAGGCAGTAGTTGCCATCCACTGGGGAGCAGCAGGAGGGGGTTACAGGACCTCCAGCCTCAGGAGGCAGAAGGCCCAGGATGGAGACGAAGACACTTACCATTAAATCGCACGGCTCGCACTGCTCCCTGGCCGCAGTCCAGCGTCTTCAACCGTTTCTGCGGCAGCTCCGGGGCCCGTGGCTTTGGCGCAGGAAAAGCCATAGTTCAAATGCATTAGCCCGCTACCCGCATTGCTGCAGTCTGTACTGAGACTGCCTTGCTTCCAGGCTTTCAAAACCCTTGCTGGGGTGTAACCTTATTATTGTCCTCCAGGGTGTATTTCCTGCTTCACACTTCCGTGATCATATTTTCGTCGTGTTGACCACAGTGTTGGGAATACCGAAGGTTCCTTTCAGTTTTTTCCATACTGCCTACTTTCCAGGAGCTATTCTGGGCTTTTTCTTCCTCCCCGTTCTCCGGCTGAGAGCAGTCCTGGTCACTGCCACTGGGAACAGAAGCGCCAGGTTACTGGTGTTACTCTAAAAGCCACCCTTCATTCTCACGCCGGAAGCTGGTGTTGTAGCAGGGAAAGAGGTACGGAGTGGTCTGCACTCGCTATGTCCACCAACAATATGTCCGACCCACGGAGACCCAACAAAGTGCTGAGGTGAGCAGTCCAGCAAGTCATGGCAAGGCGTCTCTGGTTGTGGCCGTGGGCCCAGGCCAGGTGTCAGCCCAGGTGGGATTTGGTGGCTCCTGACCCTTGAACCTGTCGCAGGTATAAGCCTCCGCCCAGCGAGTGCAACCCAGCTCTGGACGACCCGACGCCGGACTACATGAATCTCCTCGGCATGATCTTCAGCATGTGCGGCCTCATGCTTAAGGTGGGCGGGGTTGAATGTCTCTGGTGCCTGTTGCTGCTCCCGAGAATGAGGCCTGGGGGCGGGTTCAGATGGAGGCGACTCTTCTGACGGTGCTGGAGGTGGGGTGGGGTGAGGTCAGCGGGGAGCTGAGCTACGGTGACACCTCCCACACAGGGCAAGTTGGGGCTGCAGTTGAGGAGTACATAACAGCGGGTCTGAGGGTGGGGTGTGACTTCGAAGCAATTTTCAGACGACTCTTGGGAAAAGGGCAGGGTCCTTAGCACGTGGGAATATGGTGGGGTCAGAGATACAGGGTACACAGGTCAGGGTCAGTAGCCTGCTGCTTGGAGCGGGCTCTGAAGGGTTGGTATTGGGGTGCGTCCTGGGGCAGTGTCCAAGCTGATGCCTGAGGACGCGGGTTGTGGGGGCTTCCTGGCATTCTTCCCACTGATGCGATCTTCCCACTCACCTGTCCTCAGCTGAAGTGGTGCGCTTGGGTTGCTGTCTACTGTTCCTTTATCAGCTTTGCCAACTCTCGGAGCTCGGAGGACACGAAGCAGATGATGAGCAGTTTCATGTGAGGATCCTAAGTGAGGGGATGGGGTCCCATGCCTTCTGTCTAGAACTGACAACTCTTTTTTGTCTCAGGCTCTCCATCTCTGCCGTGGTGATGTCCTATCTGCAGAATCCTCAGCCCATGACACCCCCATGGTGATGTTACCTAGAGGACTTGGATCCTGGACTCCTGCCCACCTTCTCTCTGGTCTAGCCTTTGGCTGCCTCCAACCTGCCCTTAGCTGCTGTCCTTAAACTTGCCTGTGTGTTGTCTCTGGTCTCCCAGTTGGATGGAGGAAGCTGACCCTTTCTTCGGGGTCCCGCTTCTGCTTTGACAGAGGGGTAAACCCACAGACTTCCCTTTTGTTTTCCCTCCCCTGGCCACTGTTATGGGAAACACTGTTCATGTTTCTAAATATGCACTAGTTTTCTTGTTGAAACCAGTTGATATAAAATTTTCCACTCTGAATGGCTTGTATCGATTCTCTTTTGTTCACGAGGTACTGCTCTGCCCAGGGAAGGCCGGGCTGCGTAACTTCGAGTTAAGGTTTCACAAGCCTCATGTCTTAAGTTAGGCATTGGGGACAAGACAGTTATTTCCACACTTGGGTGACTGTTGGCCCTGCCGACCTAACTAACCTTGGCCTTGGTTTCTTTTGTTTCTTTCTTTATTTAACCTACTTGTTTATTTTGAGGTGCAGGGTACAGAATTCAGAGCTTTATCCATTCTACACAGGTGCAATACCACAGAGCTATATTTCTAGGTTTTATGTATTTGTGTGTCCCTGTGTAGCCCCAGCCAGCCTGGTAATCATGTAGCTGGGATGACAATATCCTGCCCTAGCCTTCAGCATGCTAAGATTACAACTACACACCAACACAGCAGACTCTGGCCTGGGGTTCTCTTAGAGCAACAGAGTAACGAATAGACGGGTAGGGATTGGAAAGGGTATGAAAGACTCAGGGTTCCCCTGTCCCCCCAGGGCCCTCCCAGCTCACAGGAGGTTCAGCCTCTGTCCAAACCCTGCTGGGTGCCTCATCTCAGCCCCCACCAGAACTGTTTTCAACCCCAGCTGCTAGCCACGCTAGGCCCCTCCACGAACGACCCCAGCCCTAACAGTGTGGCATCCTAGAATGCCACCTACACTTCCACTCCTTAGGAAACACTGACTTCCGCTGAAAAAGTCGAATCCTTTGCTTACACTCATACAAAAGCATAGCAAAGCCTTACAGCTAAGGTCTTCTGCCAAAAGAGTCCTGGGTGGAATGGAGTTGGGGACAGACTCAGTACTCGCCTGTCCTCTTTAATTCCTCAGTACCGCAGTCTACAGCCACAGTTCGTAGATGACCTAGGCCCTGCCCCCTTCTGCGCCGATTGGCTGGTTCGGGTTCTGGGGGCGGAGCGTTCTCGGAGATTTAGCTGGGTTAGGGAAACCCGCGGAAGCGGCCTCTCCGGAGCGATGGGCACCCCACCGCTGGCCTCTGATGTCTGTGCTGGTGGCGGGAGTGCTGTTTGGTTCTCGATGAACTTCTGCACTCTAGGTTCTCCTGTCCTGCTTATTTCTTTTCTCTTTTGGCTGTCACTGGCCACACCTGGCGCTTGGGCCGCGGGTTACGAGGTGAGCTGGGGTCCGAGGGCGGAAATGTATTTGAGCTAGAGTTGAACCAGAGGTGTGAGTGGCACTTATCCATAGGTCACTGCTGCTGATCTGATTGTGTGATCTAAGTGCGTGCATTGGGTCTCCGAAAATGTCTGGCGTGCGCCTGAGAACAGGGCTGCTCAAGATTGTATCCGCCTTCCTGTGACTCCAGCGGGCCTGCTTGGACTTTGCATGCACTTAACTGTGATTGGTTGTGCCAAGGACTAGCGGCCATTTGAGAACAGGACGCTAAGCTTTGTAAAGGTTGTACTTGCTATGGTTCCACTTGCATGAACCCGCTGTTTGGTGACAGTGCATTCCCCAAAGCCCTATTTGGGGCGGCTCTGCTGGAAAAGCAGCCTTGCAAATCTGATTACATCACGAGGAAAGGCTGCCCATCTTCCCTCCCAGAGTGTGAGTATGTGAGCTGGGCTGTTCATCCTTTTCCACCACCCTTCAGGTAGCCTGGAGTCCCAGTTGGACTTCTCAGCTTCCTGGCTCCTTCCTTGTGCAAGTGACCTCTCTACACCATGCCTCAGAGCTCAACTAGAGCTAATACTGCCCCGCGTCTCAGGGTGGTTGTCTGCTGTCTGTGAATGCTCAGCTAACCCCAGCTACTACTGAAGTTGTTTCCATGCAGTATGAAATCTGCCAGATGGGGTTTGTGCAAAGTGGGATTTGTGTCTATGAGCACAATACTCGGTGTGTCCTACCTGAGAAAGCCTGGGACAGACGATAGTTTTGATCTCTCGGTGTCACTCCAGAGTCAAGACTTGTGTTTGTACCACCTCCCTGCCTGCTTTGTGAAGGTGGAGGTCAGGCTTACAGTCTTGGACACGTTAGGCAAAGATTACCTCAGAGCCCCCTGCTGGCCTCTCCACTCTTGGGTACTGACAGCGGATGTGTATGTTTTGGGGTCTCTGTGCAGACATGTCCCCCAGTGAAGCCAGGCATGCTCAACGTGCACCTGTTGCCTCACACACATGATGACGTAGGCTGGCTGAAGACAGTGGACCAGTACTATTATGGCAGTGAGTAGAGAGTGGGGGGCGGGGCCCTTCTAAGTTTTTCAGGGACCTGGACATCGTGGTGCGTGTGGTGACATCTTGCTTGTACAATGAGTCATCTTGTATCAGGGCATGTCTTCTCGTGGTCCCTCATTGCCTGACCTTCCTGTCCACAGTCCTAAATGATGTTCAGCATGCATCTGTTCAGTACATCCTGGACTCGGTAATCGCCTCTCTACTGGAGAATCCCACCCGTCGCTTCATCTACGTGGAGATGGCTTTCTTTTCTCGTTGGTGGAAGGAGCAGACAAACGCAACACAGGATGTTGTACGGAGACTGGTGCACCAGGGTGAGTCCACCCCAAGGAGAGAAAGGCGTAAGCCCAGCCCAGGTTGATCTCGGAGATTACTTACTTATTTATTTATTATTTTTATTTATTGGGACAGGCTCTTATTATATAGCCCTTCTTGGCCTGGAACTTGATATATACATCAGGCTGGCCTTAAACTTGTGGAAATTCTCCTGCTTCCCTAGTTCTGGAACGGAAGGTCTATAGTTCTACCTGCTTAGAATCTCTCTTCCTGTGGAGACCAGTGTCCCACAAGGGCCTGCCTCCAGTGGCTTCCTGGGAAGCCTGTCATGCAGATCTAAGCATACTGGCTTGGAAGCTCCCCTGCTCTCCCGCTTCAGTAGCGGTATGGTCTGTTTCCCTAGCCTCACCTGTGATGATCCTGTTCCTAACAGATAATCTCCTCCCCTTGCCCTCCCTGCACAGGGCGCCTGGAGTTTGTCAATGGTGGCTGGGTGATGAATGATGAGGCAGCCACCTACTATGGTGCCATTGTGGATCAGATGACACTTGGGCTACGCTTCCTGCAAGACACATTCGGTAGCAGTGGGCGTCCCCGTGTGGCCTGGCATATTGACCCTTTTGGCCACTCTCGAGAACAGGCCTCTCTGTTTGCCCAGGTGCCAGCCACCCTATTTTCTTTGGACCTGACCTTTAATCCTTTAGCTGCTCAAATGCTGCCCTTCTCTAGTGATTTCTGGGACTAGACCCTGGCTTGCTGAGATGCCACCTCTCGGGTGAACTTGCTTCCTGTGAGTTGAGTTCAAGCCCTGGTCTATGTCCTAAGGCACCACAGGGTTAAACTGCTTTGCTTTTCTCCAGCTGGTTTGGTCCCTTCCCTTGACAAGTCTGTATTAAAATTTGGACTCCACCCCCCTGCTAGGGTTGGGGCTTCTCTCTGAACAGTGACCAGTGGTGCTACCCTGCTTTAAAACCAGCTTCATGTCTGTGCTGACCTACCCCACCTTGGATTGTGGGGTGGAGAGTGGAAAGGCCTCCTTTTCACTTTGACATAACCAGGGAGGCGAAAGGGTTTCGGCTCTAGAGCGTCCCTTCTTTGCTGACCCTCTCAAGCTTAGAAGTACACATCCATTCCTGTCGTGTATGCAATTGGTGTAGGGGGACTGTGAATTGAGGTGAGCGTGGCCTCAGACTGCTGAGGCCCTGTGTTCAAAAAAATCTAGTTTATTTTTCTTAGTTTTATTTAATGTATATGAGTTTCTCATGCCATGTGTTATTTAATATATGAGTATTTTGCCTGCATGTATGTCTGTGTACCATGTTTGTGCAGTGCCTACAGAGGACAGTTGTAGAATCCCCTGGAATTGGAGTACTGGATGATTGTGAGCCACCATATAGTAGATGCTAGGTATTGAACCCTGGTCTTCTGGAAGAGCAGATAGGGCTCTTAACCACTGAGCCATTTTTCAGCCCCCCTGAAACCTAGTTTTAGTTGTGTATACTGTCTCTGTGCCGTCTTTACTAACTGGGCAAGAAGGACCGCACCCCTTCACTCCATCCCTTCTTCTGCACCCCAGATGGGTTTTGATGGCTTCTTCCTTGGGCGCATTGACTATCAAGATAAAGTTGCTCGGGAGGAGAAACTCAAGATGGAGGAGGTGTGGAGAGGCAGTGCCAGCTTGAAGCCCCCAACTGCTGACCTCTTTACTGGTGAGGCGGAGGGAGGGTAGGACAGTCACACAGGATCTCAAGCTCAGAAGGGTCCAGGTGGGATTTTGAGATGTGCTGTGATTATCTTAGAATTTTTAATGATTTTTGAGCTGGTCTCTGTGTGTTCTTTTTGTATCAGCCCTTTCTAATCCAGAAGTCTATCCTGGGTGGGACATGGCAGGCTCTGACCCCAGGGAAGGTCTGGGGTGCTGAGTCCAATTTGGTTTACAGGTGTGCTCCCCAATAATTACAATCCTCCAAGGAACCTGTGCTGGGATGTGCTATGTGCAGACCATCCCTTGGTGGAGGATCCCAAAAGCCCTGAGTTCAATGCAAAGACTTTGGTCAGTTACTTCCTGCAGCTGGCCTATTCCCAGGTAACAGAGATATTTAGACCATGGTCCATCGCATGCAGACATAGGCACCTAACCTTTCCTGAAGCCCAGGGGGATGCCTCCAAGGGATTTCCCTTTGGGATTTATTCTTCATTAGAATGACACACCCGGAGCTGGAGAGATAGCTCAGCACTTAAGAGTGCTTGCTGCTCAATTATGAGGACCAGCGTTTCAGATCCTGGTACCACATAATAAGCTAGTCACCCTGTCTGCAAACTCCTGTATGGGAGTTATCTGGAGCCCTATCTCCAAGGGGTGGAGAGGCAGGGGAAATCACTGGCAATTCTGAACTTCAGCCTAGTGAAGAAACTTCAAGTCCCAGGTTCAGGGAGAAACTCTGCCTCAAAGGAACAGGTAGAGAATGGTAGGGCAACACCTGACACTCTTTTCTTATTTGTGCATGTGTGTAGAGACAAATGCACTCCCACAAACATGTGTAAATACACAGAACACCCACACACACCTTATTTTTTTTTTTAAAGATGTGGTCCAGCTATGGTGGTGCACACCTTAATCCCAGCACTGGGGGTAGGCAGAGGCAGTTGATCGACGTGAGCGGGAAGCCAGCCTAGGAATACCTTGGGAGACCCTGTCTCAAAACAAAACAAGTAAACAAACCAAAGAAGTGGACCAGTGAGATGCTCAGTGGATAAAGGTGCTCGCTGCCCAGCTTGACACCTGAGTTCAGTTTCCAGAGCCCACTTGGTGGAAGGAGAGCAGTGACTCCTGTAAATTGTCCTCCAGGCTCCAAGCTGGTGCTGTACCATGCACACCATAGCATGTGTCCCCTCCCCTCATGAATAAACATGAGGAAGGGGAGGAGACTGCATATGAGAGTATGGCTCAGTCCCTTGTAGCCTCATCTGAGTAGTGAGCCCTAGAGTACTTCAGATAAGGTCTCATGTAGGCCAAGCTGGCCTTGAACTTGCTATGTAGACAAGGCTGGCTTTCAGCTTCTGGTCCTCCTGCCACCATTTCCTGAGTGCTGAGAATATAGATGTGCACCACCGTGCCTGCGCCACATCCATAATCCCTCACTGGTTATTGTTTGTTCCCCTCTGTTTTTATGTGCCATAGTCCCCATGTATTCTTGACTGTGGGTCACCCCCACTACCCTGTACTGGGGATCCAACCTGGGGTGTTGAGTGTGCTAGGCTAGTACTCTCACACTGAACTACATCCCTAGGCCCCCACATGTACTTTTGCACACTTAGGCATAGGGACAGACCGGGACACCCTGGCCTGAGGACTGCCTTCTCATTACAGCAACAGTATTACCGAACCAAACATACTGTGATGACCATGGGTTCAGACTTCCAATATGAGAATGCCAACATGTGGTTCAAAAACATGGACAAGCTTATCCGCCTGGTCAACAAGCAGGTCAGTGTGCCTCCCTGTGTGTGTTAATCAGCTTTCTATCCCTACAATCAAATGCCTGAGATAGAGGGAAAGAGCCATGTATGGGGTGCACCCCAGGACTAGCGACGCTGAGGATTGCTTTGAGTTGGAGGCCAGCCTGGGACAGATATAAACATATACACACATGACCCTGTCTCAGAAACAAAATCATACACCAAACCAAAATAAAGTTACTTTTAGTTTTAGTTTTCCTTTTTCTTTGAGACAAGGTTTCCCATGTAGCCCTGGCTGTCCTGGAACTCACTCTGCAGACCAGGCTGGCCATGAACTCAGAGATTCCCCTGCCTCTGCCTATTGAGTGCTGGGACTAAAGACATGTGTTACCATGCCCAGCATAGTTTTGGTTTTCTAAAATTGTATGTGGTATGCATGTGCGTGTGTGCATTCTTGGAGGCTGGAGGAAGATGTTTAGTGTCCTGCTTTATTGGTCTCTGTCTCCTTCTCATGAGAATTGAACCTGGAGTTAGGCTGGTAGTCAGCAAACCTGCATTGTACTCTTATCTGGGCCCCCTGCTGTCCTGGAGTACAATTTCATAGTTGGTTATTCCTAGCTGGGATTAAAGATGCAGGACACCATGATTAGCCTCATTATTTCCACTTCTCTGTTACTAGTTTTTTCCACTGTCCTCTTCCAATCCATCCCCTTCTCTTCTACACACTTTTCTTCCTGTTACTTTATGTGTTCGGGTATTTTGTCTGCATATGTATCTGTGTACTATGTATGCCAGAAGAGGGCATTGAATTCCCTGGAAATGGAGTTCCAGATAATTGTAAGCTGCCATGTACTGTTGGGAGCTGAATCTGGGCTCTCTGAAACAGCAACTGGTAGTCTTAACCACTGACTCATTTCTCTGTCTCCGTTTGTTAAAAGAAAGGGTCTCGCTATATACCCCTGGTTGGTCTTGAAATCACAGGGATGTGCCTGCTTGTACCTCATGGGTGCTGGAATTAAACTCTTGCTGTTGCTGCCTCCTTCTCCTCCTCCTCATGCTCCTTTATCTCCTTGTCTTCATTGTTGGGGTTCATGGAGGAGTTTCATATATGCTTGGCAAGGGATTCAAACTCCTGCTGCCTCTTTCAGGTTTTTTTTTGGTTTTTCGAGACAGGATTTCTCTGTATTGTTTTGGACGTTGTTGGCTCTGTAGACCAGGTTGGCCTCGAACTCACAGAGATCTGCCTGCCTCTGTCTCCCGAGTGCTGGGATTAAAGGTGTGTGCTACCAAAGCCCGGCCGCCTCTTCCAGTTTTAAAGACCCTTTTGATTATTTGGGTGTCCCAGGTAATCTCTGTTTTAAGGTCAGCTGACCAGAAATTCCAATTCCTTTAAAATTAAAAAAAAATTTATAGCCAGGCATGGTTGTGCATGCTTTTAATCTTAGCACTTGGGAGCAGAGACCAGTGGATCTGTCTTTTGGTAGTCTGGCAGTGCTAAAAAACAAAACAAAACAAAACAAAACAAAAAACCCACAAAAACCCCAAAAAACCCCTATCATTTCTACCCTTTAATGACATTCTTAATTTTCCCTTAATTAATTGTGTTTTGGAGACAGGACCTCTTGTAGCCCAGGCTGGCCTCTGCTTGCTGTGTAGGTGAGAATGACTTTGAGCTTTTGCTAGGCCTATACCTCTGGAGGGGTAGAATTACAGGTGTGCCGGGGATTAAACCGGCTTTGTACAAGCTTGGTAAACACCATACCAACTGAGCCACATACGCCCAATCTCTCCCTGTTTTATTTTATTTTATTTTTTTAAAGATTTATTTATTACATATACAGTGTTCTGTCAACACGCCAGAAGAGGGCACCAGATTGAATTGTAGATGGTTGTGAGACACCATGTGGTTGCTGGGACCTCTGGGGGAGCAGGCAGTGCTCTTAACCTCTGAGCCATCTCTCCAGCCCCCTCTCCCTGTTTTAAATAATAGAGTTGGATTATTTAAAAGGTTTTGTGGTGCATCTGCCCATGCTTATAGTCCCAGCTACTAGGGAGGCTGAGGCAGGAGGATCACTTGAACTCAAACATTCTAGGCCACCCAGGACAGCTGGATAACACGGGGAGAGTGCTTCAAACCAACAAATAAAAAAGAAAAGAAAAAGTTGTGTAAAATGATAGCATTATCCCTGAAATCTTTTTAAGAGTGACAGTGTTTGGCCATGGCTAAGACGTATGCTCACATTTGACTACTGTTGTGTACTCAGAAAGGGTGTTTAGGGGCTGGGGAGATGGCTCAGAGGCTAGGAGCATTGGCTGCCCTCCCTGAGGTGGCTCACAGCCATCTGTACGGCCGGTGCCAGGGTTCTTGTGCTCTTTTCTGACCCCCATGGGCACCAGGGATGCAAGTGGTGCATGAACACACATGCAGGCCACCCTTACATATAAACATTAAATAAAGAAGCACATCTTAAAAAGAACAACAGCAAGTGTTGGATGCCTGTGGCCCCGGAAGGTGCAGATCCCGAGGCTCACACATGCCTTCTCCCAGCAGCAGGCAGAGGGGAGCCAGGTCCATGTTCTCTACTCCACCCCTTCGTGTTACCTCTGGGAGCTGAACAAGGCCAATCTCACCTGGTATTTGGGGCAGGCAGGGACTGGGGAGCTTGGGGTGGGGGTGGCGTGTCCCGTGGGTTGACCGCTCTCAATGGCCTGTGCAGGTCTGTGAAGGAGGATGACTTCTTTCCTTATGCTGACGGCCCGCACATGTTCTGGACCGGCTATTTTTCTAGCAGGCCGGCCCTCAAACGCTATGAACGCCTCAGCTACAACTTCCTGCAGGTGAGTGAGCATGTGGGGAGCCAGGAAGCCCAGAGGAGCTGCTGCCTAACATACCTCTTTCTCCTCAGGTGTGCAAACAGCTGGAGGCACTGGCTGGTCCTGCAGCCACCACGGGACCCTATGGCTCAGGAGACAGTGCTCCCCTTAGTGAGTGTCACCTGTCCACTGTGGAATAGGATGGGGTGGGAGAGAGGAGGATTGAAGCTAGAAACCAAAACCATCCCTAGGGCACTTTACTTATGGTGGTGCTCAGGATCGAACCCAGGACCTCTTGAATGCTATACAGCACTGAATCACTGAACACGGAGCTACATCCCTAGTTTTGAGTTCTTTCTTTTAAATTGACTTATTTTTATGTGTGTGAGTGCCTGCATGTGTATTAGTGAACCATATGCATATTCAGTGACTTGGGAGGCCAAAGAGATTGTCAGACCCCCAGAGCTGATGTTATACAGTTTCTATAGACATATAGACACACGTGATGTCGGGAGTCAAACCCTAGTCCTTTGAAATGCCAGCCAGTGCTCTTGGCTAGTGGGCCATCGATGGCTCCAGCCTTCCAGTTGTTCTTAATTCTCCTCAGAGTCCTGTTTTCCTGCACGGGACTTTTGTGGGTGCTTACTTGGTGGTGGGGCTCAGAGTTCTGTGGAAGATGACATCCAACTGATGTTCTGTTGGCAGATGAGGCAATGGCGGTCCTCCAGCACCACGATGCGGTCTCTGGCACTGCAAGGCAGAACGTTGCAAATGACTATGCTCGTCAGCTGGCAGCAGGCTGGGGACCCTGTGAGGTGTGAGGGGCAGGTCCATGAAGTAACCAGGAAGGGGCGTGGTCCAGGGTGATGGGCCGGCCCCAAAGGGTTCTTAGGGGCAGGGGGCAGGGTTTTGGGGAGTGGGAGGGGAGAATGACGAGGGGGCCTTTCTTGGGAGAGAAGGGGTGGAGCTTACAGGAAATGGGGCAGGGTCTAGGAAGGAGAGACTGGGCCTTGGTAGGGGCTTGACCAGTTTTCCAGGGGTGCAGACCTTGGGTGCAGATCTTTTGGTGATTGTCACCAGGTTCTGGTGAGCAACGCACTGGCGATGCTCAGCCATGAAAAACAGAACTTCTCCTTCTGCCGCGAGCTCAACATCAGCATCTGCCCAGTCAGCCAGAAGTCAGAGCACGTGAGTAAGGGCTGGGAGGCAGGTGGGGTTGAACCTAGAAGGTGAAGCCTGCAGTGAAGGGGATGGAGTGGATGCATAATTTCTTTTTGGAGGGTCGTTCTGGGCACAGGAAAATGCCACAGGATAGTTCATCACAAGGAGCGTGGCTTGGCCTGGGAGCCCAGGACTGTGTGGGAAAATGTTCTACTAGATGGTTTTGGAGGCCTGTTGTGACTTGGCTCTTCCTGCCAAAGTTCCAGGTAACTATTTACAACCCCCTGGGCCGGAAGGTGCAGCAGATGATCCGGCTGCCGGTCAATGACGGCATCTTCTTTGTGAAGGATCCTAATGGGAAGACGGTGCCCAGTAACGTGAGCTTGCCTGCACAATGAACCCTTCCTTCCCCAGCGCGTTCCCAGATCCTGTAGATATCTACCACCACGAGTTCCTCTTCTGTGTGTCTCCCGTCTCTGTCCCCAACAAATGACAACCCTTCTAAATGTCCCCTTGGCATTTCCCTTCCTTTGTTCTGACCCCCTCCCCTTTCTTCCTTCTGACAGGCTTTCACTGTTTAGCCCAGGCTAGCCTCCAACTTGTGGTCTTCCTGTCATAACCTCCAGAGAGTTAGGATTGCAGGTTTGGGTCACCTCACGATTTCCCCAGCAGATTCTCTGTTGTGGACACTCTCTTCACCCCTTGAGGTCTCCTTTCCTGAACCTCTTAACCCCTTCCCGTCTCTTGCTCTGCTTCCTGTTTTCTCCCAGACTCCTGCTCTCTGTGTCTCCACTTCTCTCTCCTTCTCTCTTTCCTCTTTCCTCTTCTCCCTCTCCTGTCACACCTAGGTCCCTTCTTCTGCCCATTCCTTACCCTCTGAGGTCGATGCATGTGCCCATGTCTGTCTTCTTGACTCTTGACTCTCTCACTCAAGGTGGTAATGCGTCCCAACTCCTACAGTAAGAGGTACCAGTGGGATCTGCTGTTCCCAGCCTTCGTGCCTGCCCTGGGCTTCAGTATGTACTCTGTGGCCAAGGTGACTGCCGCTACCTCCCAAGCCTACAGGCTTAGGGCCAGGTCTAAGAAATCCAGGTCCCATGTCTTGTTCATTGAAAATGAGGTGAGACTCTCCTTGAATTCCCTTCCTTGCCTCTGTGACAACCTTAAAGTGTTGTAAAACTGTTTGGATTCTGGGTCCTTGGTTTGCACCCATCTCTCTTGATCGTGTGTTCTTTAGTGAGGAGTGTAGCTTTGAGCCTCAGTTTCCTTTCTGGAGCAGTTGTTTAAGTCTAGGGTAACCATGAGGTTGATGTCTATGCCAGGGCCCATGGCAGGAAGGTGTTGTGGGGTCACGGAAGGCTTCTTAGATAGGAGACAGCTGAAGGCTCAGATTGTTCTTCAGTGATAGACACTTGCCTAGCAACTGTGAAGCCCTGGCATCCACCCCCAGCGCCTCAAAAACAGAAAATGAAGAGCCGGTGTCTCAGTTAGGGTTTTTACTGCTATGATGAAGCACCATGACCAAAACCAGCTGGGAGGAAAGAGTTTATTTTGCCTACAGTTCCAGGTAACAGTCCATCACTCAAGGAAGTCAGGACAGGAACTCAAGCATGGCAGGAACCTGCAGGCAGGAGCTGATGCAGAGGCCATGGAGGAGGCTGCTTACTGGCTTGCTCTCCATGGCTTTCTCAGCCTGCTTTCTTATAGAACTCAGGACCATCAGCCCAGGGGTGTCTCCACCTACAATGGGCTGGGCCCTCCCCATCAATCACGAATTAAGAAAATGTTCTACAGCCTTGCCTATAGCGCTAGATCTTACAGAGGCATTTTCTCAGTTGAGGTTCCCTCCTCTCAGAATCCACTAGCTCTGTGTCAAGTTGAGGTAAACTACCCGGCACAGCTGTAGAAATGGCTCAGCAGGTTAAGAGAATATACTGCTCTTGCAGAGAAACCTAGTTCAGGTCCCAGTGCCCATAGCCAACTGCCTGTAAGTCCAGATCTAGGGAGACACAATGCCTCTGGCCTTGCAGGCACCTGCAATTGTATGCACATACCCCCCCATATACATCATTAAAAATAATAAAAATTAATCTTAAAAATATCCTGGCCAGGTGTAATGGTGAATGCCTCTAATCTTAGCACTTGAGAGGCAGAGGCAGGTGGATTTCTGTGAGTTCCAGGACAGCCAGAGCTACATTGTGAGATCCTGTCTCCAAACCAAAAACAAACAAATAAGCAAAAGAACAAAAACAAAAAACAAACAAACCCCAAACCCAGGTAAGTGAGAGAAAGAAAAGCAGTCTGTCGTATTTACTTTGTGGGCTCCTTCTTTCATAAAATATATTAAAATTGTATCAGTATCAGTGTGGTACAGTGTGTTTATAGTCCTGATACTTTGTGGGCACAGTTAGGACGCTGGAGATTGCTGGCCAACCAGTGTTTTTGAGTTGGTGAACTCCAGGTTCTGTGAGAATTCTGTCTCCAAATACAAGTTCTGGTCTACATGGTGAGTTCACGCTAGTCAGAGGTATAAAGTGCAAACCTGGCTCAAAAAGAAAATAAAAGTAAGAGGGGAGGAGAGATGGCTCAGTTGTTAAGAGCACTGACTTCTTCCAGAGGACCCCAGTTCAATTCACAGCACCCTCATGGCAGCTCATAACTGTCTGTGCCTCCTAGGAGATCCAACACCCTCACACAGACATACATGCAGACAAAATGCCAGTGTACATAAAATAAAAATAAAGAAATCATTAAGAGAAGATTAAAAAATAAAAATTATGGTAGAGAACCATTGACACCAGCCAGCTTCAGTCCCTGGCCTCCACATGCATCCCATGACTGTACACACAAATATGTACACATGAGACACACACAAGAACGTCATATGATGATATTTCTGTAGAGATCAGTATGCCATTTAAGTCTCGTTATGATATGTTCATTGTTACTATTCAACTTTGTTGTTGGGTTTTATTCTTTACTCTTTTGGCACTTTGCTCTTTTGGGGAGTCTGCCACCCAGCTCCCAAATAAACAAAGAGAGACTTTCTGCTACTTATGAACTTCCATCCTTAGCTTGGCATATTTCTAGCCAGTGTTTTTATGTAAATTAACCAGTCTACGTTTGGCTTCTGGGCCTTTTCCATCTCTCACTTCTGCAAATCTTACTTTCACTCTAACTCCATGGCTGGCTGGGCGTCTGACCCCTGATGTCCTCCTCCCCTTGATCTATCTTGCTCCCTCCTCTTCTCCCAGATTACTTCTTTATTTATTCTCTCTGCCTGCCAGCCCCACCTACCCTGTCTCCTGCCTCTCTCTGAGCCATTCAGCTCTTTATTAGACCCTCAGGTGTTTTAGACAGGCAAAGAGTCACAGTTTCTCAGAGTTAAACACATGCAACATAAAAGAATGCCCCACATCTTTGCATCACTAAACAAATGTTCCACAGCATTAGCAAATGTAACACACCTTAAAATAATAGTCCACAACCCAACTTTTCTTTAGATTTTTAAAGGAAATGAAAAGATCCTTCAGATTTTTGGGACAGAGTTTCATAGAGCCCAGACTGTCCTTGAACTTGATATGTAGGTCAAAATGACATTGAACTCCTAATCTTCCTGCCTCCACCTCCTGAATGCTGGATTACAGGCGTGTACCACTGCTGTGCCAGATTTATATGGTGCTGAGGGCTTCATACATGCTGAGAAGCACTCTGCCAACTGAGTTAGGATCACTGTTACAACATGAAAATATTTCTGTGGGCCACTGGAAGCCTTATGGTTTCTGGCATTTGGCTCATGGGCCAGATGGTATATATTGGTCTAGCTCTGAAGCAGATGAAGACTGTGGTCGATTTAGGATACCACAGTTGGCTCTGCTGCTGTGGGGTGAAGAGACTGGATAAGTATAGAAATGAGGGTTTCTGCAGAAGGCTGAGTTAGTCCTAGAGGGCCATGGTGTGTAGAGAAGTGTCCAGAGGCTAAGCCTATGGAAGCAGAGGTAACGATGGTGTTTGCTTATTGGATCAGGCACCGCAGTGGGTGAAATGTGGGGAGTGATTGCAGGGAGGGCTGGAGCTTTCTCTGCTGAGGAGATGCTTGTCCACATGTGTGCTCCATTTCCCCACCCAGTATATCCGGGCTACATTTGACTCTGGCACAGGGCTATTGATGAAGATTGAGAACATGGAACAGTCCCTCTCGCTCCCTGTGAGCCAAGGCTTCTTTTGGTGAGAAAGGGGTGCTATCTCAGGGCAGGTGCACAGAGCTGGGGCGGCTGAGAGCTGAGGACGCCCCTGATGCTCATTTGTTCTGATTCTAGGTACAATGCCAGCACTGGTGACGGGAAGAGTTCTCAGGCCTCTGGTGCCTACATCTTCAGGCCCAACCATCTGAAACCAATGCCTGTAAGCCGTTGGGCTCAGGTCCATCTGGTGAAGGTCTGTAGCCAGAAACCATGAGTGGGTTTTGGGGGTAGGGGTGGGAATGTGGAGTCTGGGGACAGGATGTGCCACACGTAGGGTGTGGGTGGGAACTATTTCATCTTCTCTATTATTATTATTTTAAATATTATGTGTGTGAGTATGAGTGAGTGTGAGTGTGTGCACGTGTGTTTCTGTGTGCATATGTGTGGAGGTTTGAGGACAGACTGTGGGAGTCTACTACATGGATTCCTAGGATAGAATGCAGGTCATCAGGCTGGCAGCAAGCACCTTTACCCACTGAACCATCTCTCTGCGCTCAAGAAAGCTTTTACTGTGTAGCGCAGCCCAGCCTCAGAGCTCTTGATCTTGCCTCAAGCTCGGGAGTGCTAGGACTGCAGGAGAGCCTCACATGCCTGGCTTTACTTCTTTACATATGGAGTAAGACCCAGGCTCCCTCTGCTGATGGGGAAAACCCACTTGTATAAGATCTCTGTCAACATGTTCACATCCATTCCTCAAAGTATAATTGCTTAGAATTCTCTAAGGCCTGTGAGTGAGATTATGTGTTCGAATGTAGAATGCAGTTTAGATCACTTGTATATGAGAAAAAGCTGAGTTCTAGCTCCACACCACCACAAAAGGGAAGAATGTTCTGGACATCCAGGGAAGGTGGAGGTCTCACGTTTGCCAACGGAGTCATCTGTGTTGTTCTTGTCCCTGTCACTTCTTTAACATTCAGCTTCCCCTTCATGATCCAAAATAAGCACTCAGGCTCTAGCCAGCATCTGTGTTTGAGCCAGTGAGAGGGAATGGGTCAAGAACATTGTTCATACTACCTTGGCCATTTCCTATGGGGACAGATGGTGGCCACACAGTTCCTGATAGCACAAAGAAGACTAGACATGCAACTCTAGACTCCTAAGGAGGGAAGATGGGGCAATAGTGGATACCAAGTATGTATGGATTCAGTCAAGGGTTGTGTGGCTTGTCCGGCATGGTAGCACACATCAGGAGTTCAGGGCCAGTTTTCCATTTTGACTCCTACAGAGTTTGAGGTTAGCCTGAAGTACGTGAGACCCTTGCTCACAAAAACAAGAAAATGTGGGCTAACCAGGCTGTGGATCCCATCAGCAAGGGTGAGGGGTAGAGTGGGGCAGGGGTGGGGGAGGAACTGGTGAGGTGGTCAGTGGGTAAAGGTGCTTTCCAGCAAACCTACCTGTGTTCAGTCCCTGAAGCACATGATGGAAAGGGAGAGCCAATGCCTGTAAGTCCTCCTTCAGTCTCCACATGCATCCTATGCACAACAAAAGAACAGCAGCAGCGAGAGCATCACACTGAGTTAGTCTGTGAGGTGTCTGCTAGTTGATGTTCCTTTATGGGATTCCTAGCATCTTCAATATGGCTGACACCGGCTCTCTTGTGTGCCTACAGACAGCCTTGGTGCAGGAGGTACACCAGAATTTTTCAGCCTGGTGTTCTCAAGTGGTTCGCCTGTACCCAGGACAGCGTCACTTGGAGCTGGAGTGGATGGTGGGACCAATCCCAGTGAAGTATGTGGTATACTTTCCGGAGTGGGGAGCAGGCCCAGTGGTGTTTAAGAGACTCACAAGGTTACTTTTCATTGAGCACAGAGATGGTTGGGGGAAGGAGGTCATCAGCCGCTTTGATACCCCGCTGAAAACACAGGGAGAGTTCTACACTGACAGCAATGGCAGGGAAATCCTGAAGAGGAGGTAGGAAAAGGGAGTCATGGGGAGTCTGTGGTATGTTGGATTTCAGGAGTGATGGCATGAATACAGGAGAATGAAGAGGAAGCAAGACCCCAAATCTGACAGCATCACACTTCTTCCCAGGCGTAATCATCGACCCACTTGGAGATTAAATCAGACTGAACCCGTGGCTGGAAATTACTATCCTGTCAACACGCGAATCTACATCTCGGTATATGCCCTTCCACTGCCTTGGACGAGTAGTGTCTCCTAGATGCCTGGGGCAGGGTGGGCTTCCAGAAGGAGCCCACAGTCTTAGTTGCCCTTACACCTAGGATGGGCACACACAGCTGACCGTGGTGACCGACCGCTCCCAGGGGGGCAGCAGTCTGCAGGATGGCTCACTGGAGCTCATGGTGAGAGGGGAGAACTATCCAAGCTGGGTTTCCCCCATAGGGTCCACCTGGACGCAGCCATGCCTGAAGGCTGTTGTTGGTGCGCGTGTCCTGCCTGTAGCCTTGATCCCATCGTCTTCCCTTTCCTCCCTTCCTTGAGCTGGGATTGCAGGCCTGCATCACCAGGCCTGGCTTTGGAATTATATTTCTGTTTCCCTTTCCCTACCGTTACCCTGCTCAGGCCTTGACTTGTTAGACACTTACATTTCCTTGTCTTTGGTTAGTTGGACCTCACCTCCGATGGAGTCCCTACCAGTCCCTGACCTTGGTTTTCTTGTCTTTAGTGTCTGTTAAAATTCCTGCAAGCCTCTACCGCACTTCTGAACCCAGATTACTTGCTAGTTCCTCACTCTTTCCTGGCCACTCCTCCCAGGTGCACCGAAGACTGTTGTTGGATGATGGACGAGGAGTCCAGGAGCCCCTGATGGAGTTAGGGACCGGAAGTACAGTGCTAGGGCGCCACCTCGTGCTTTTGAGTTCTGTTAGTGATGCAGCTGCAAGGCACCGTCTGCTGGCGGAGAAGGAGATCCTGGCCCCGCAGGTGGTGCTGTCTCAGGGAGGTAGCAGTCCATATTACTACTGGGCAGCACCAAGGACACAGGTGAGTGACAGTGAGGGGGGCATAAAGGGAGAACCGGAATGACGCCTTCTCAACCCCTCTTTCCAGGCCTGAGTTCATCCTCAGTTTAAGCCTTTCCACTGAGGAGTGAGCCCCACCTGCTGTCAGCAATGTGTTTCAGTATTGAGTCTCCTTGTCAGTGCCCCTTCCCATTCAGCTTCGTTTCCTGCAGTCAGAGCTGGCTGCCAGCCAGGCTCCCACCAATCCTCTTAGACCCAGCCCTTCTTTCCAGTTCTCCGCACTTCGCCAGGACCTCCCTCCCCAAGTGCATCTGCTTACACTGGCCCGCTGGGGACCAAAGATGCTGCTGCTGCGCTTAGAGCATCAGTTCACTGCGACAGAAGATTCAGGCCGAAAACTGAGCTCCCCTGTAACCTTGAACTTGCAGGTGAGGAGGGTTGTGGGGAGACAGGAGGAGAGAGACAAAACACTGGGCAAACCTGGGTTTTGCATCTCAGCTGGATCCATCTATTCCTGCAGAACCTGTTCCAGGCCTTCACTATCACCGAGCTGCAGGAGACCACACTGGCAGCCAACCAGCGCCTGTCAGAGGCTTCCAGGCTGAAGTGGATGACGGACAGTGGTAAGGACCTGGCAGGAATCCTGCCTGGGGCTGGCTGCTGAGGGTGGGATCTGGGGGTTGCCAAGGATGTGTCGATGCCATCAGTGTCCAGTTCTATCATGGCGTCTTATCACCTGTGGAATATGAGCACAATGGCTGGGAGTTAGAGAGGGTTGTGGGAATCCTGAGGTGTGTTCAGGCACAGGGAAGTACTTTAAAGGTCTGGATGTGAGACCCTGGGGCAGAGTTGAGAGGCGGGTGTGCATGCTTGTGTCCAGGTCTCAGTTGTCTTCTGCTCATCCACAGGTCTCATCTCCTATCCTGCTCCTTCCAAGTTGGACCCTACCTCAGTCACACTGCGGCCGATGGAAATACGTACCTTTGTGGCCAGGGTTAAATGGCAAGAATCCAGCTAGGCCTTTGTAGTCCATGGTCACCTGCTTTCCACTCATGTTGACACACCCACACATCAAAGGGAAGAAAACAACATTTAAAAAGCATCGTTTTAATTAAAAAGATTTTTGTTTTGTTTTGTGTATTCAATATATCCTGACTGAAGTTTCTCCTCCCTCCACTCCTGCCAGTACCCTCATCCTCACCCTTCTCCCCAGATCCACTCCTCTTCCATTTTCCTTTAGAAAAGAAGAGGCTCCCAGGAGTATCCATTGAACATGGTTAACAAGTCACAATAGGACCAGGCACAAACCTCATCTCAAGGCTGGGTGAGGCAACCCAATAGGAGGAAAAGGGTCCCGAGGGCAGGTGAAAGAGTCAGAGATGCCCTCTCACTCCCACTTTTAGGTTTCCACAAAAACAGCAAGCTAACAACCATGACCTACATGCACAGGACTAGTGTAGACCCATGTAGGAAACATGTATCTGCTTTGTAATCCAGTACCTAGGAGACTGAAGCACAGGTTCAAGTTCTAGGTCATAGTGAGCCTCTCTCAAATACGTAAGGAAATAAATAAACAAATAAAATAAAGGCTTGGGTTGTGGTTCATGTCTGTAATTCCACCATGAGAGAGGTTGAGTAGGATCACTGTATTAGTGTTCTCTGGAGGAATACAAGCTACAGAACTTACAGAATGAATATATTTAGTTAGGTGGGAAAGATTCACACCTTTAATCCCAGCACACAAGAGGGAGAGGCAGAGGCAGGCGATCTCTGAGTTTGAAGTCAGCCTGGGCTACACAGCAAGTTCCAAGACAGTCAGGGCTACACAAAGAAACCCTGCTTCACCAAACAAACAACCAACAATAAAAAAAGCAGTGGCTCTCAACCTCTAACGCTGTGGCCCTTTAACACAGTTCCTCATGTTGTGGTGGCCCCAACCACAAAATTATTCTCATTGCTACTTCATAACTGTAATTTTGCTACTCATTGTGGGATCTACCTTTTCCTTGTGGTCCATTGGTCAGCATCAGAGAGGACAAGGAGAGCAGAGGCAGCAGGCAGGGCTCTGTGTGGTCTGTGAGTCTGACAGAAACAGCCTTCTGGGAGTCAGCTTCAGTGAGACAGCACAACTGTATTTCAGGGTGAGAGGAATATATAGGATGGGGACAGCAGCTGGGGCACCTCCTCATTTGCATTTGGCAGCAAGGTCCCATCATACAGCTTGGACACAGCACCTAGTTACATGGGTGGCTGGGGGAGAGCTTTTGCAGGGAGCTGTGTCAAAGGTCACACTGAAGAGAAGTCAGGCATCCAAACTCAAGGACAGCTTCTAAGTAAGGGCCTGGAGACACTATCCAAATAGGGTAGGGAGGGAGGCCTGCTGCAAAGGGAGCCCTCCATATTAACAGAGCTCAGAGAGCTATCTGGACACGATAAAATGCAACCTTAAATGTAGGATACTCCAACAAATCTTAATATACATATCTGATATGCGACCCCCTATGAAAGGTTGTGCAATCCCCCAAAGGAATCTTGATCCACAGGCTGAGGACCACTGCCTGATAAGCTTTTGGCAGGTGAAGCATCCCAAGACCCTTTGCAGCCCAGCAATTTGCAATCACCCCCCAAAAGTGGGCTTGACAGGGATCTACCCGGACAGGGACTAGGGAGCAGGAGCTTGTGGGATGCTGTTGCTAGGTGTGCTTTTGAGCAGAATTCTCAAGTCTAGGAAAACCACCAGAACACAGGTCTGCATAGGGGCTGTTCCTTATCTTTCTGATGATAGGCACTGGCCCTGGGTGGACCGGGAGCCAGAGGTTGGTAGAGCCAGGCTGGCCTTATAATATTTCCAACACTGGCACAGGCAGTTTGATGCTAGTGTTAGGTGGAAGGAAGCATTGTGGGTTCTGCTGTGGGCCATGACATGGAACATGCCTCCATTTTTCTAAGCCTCCCCTTGAAGGAATAGGCTAGATCTGCTAGGAGGCACACTGGGCTCTGTGTACTTACCAGTCAGATCAGGCTGACACCCCTTGACATGGGATAAACAGTGTCTCCTCCCTCTTCATAGGTTCCTATGACAAACCAAAGTTCCATTCCACCAAATTTCCACCCTGAGGAACTGTAAATCAGGCTCTGAGACCTCAGCACAACTGACTCCGTGATGGAAGTACCTTTCAGGGTGTAAAACTCAGAATGTAGACAGCACCACCTAACCCATCCAAGTCCATAGTTCTGGGAAAGTCTCTAAATGACTAACCTTGGTTTTGGGCTTCTGTTGTTCTGCTTCTGGCTAACTGTTCTTGTTAGCTGAAGTATTTCAAGCCAGGATGCAGTTTTCATGTTTAAAAGCTCACCCTGAGAAAGGCTCGGGCTACACACTATTTATTGGCTTAAAGCCTTGTCTGAATAATCTTCTCTGGTGGATATTTCACTAAAGGAACAAGTGGGCTTATTAGTTACTGAAGGAGCATGGGTGACCCCCAAAGCAGCCTCATTAAAAAGTCTTTACCCCTGGAGCTACAGTGGGACTCTTGCCTCAAAAACAGTCTTCCTAGCAAGGCCGATGTCTTCCCTCAGCCAAAGAAGTGGACCCTTTCCCCCTATTCTCTCAAGCCCCTCCTCAATACCACGAGGCTACATGCAGGTAGGATAGAATTAGATGCAACTGGCTAAGGGAGGCTGGATACTAAAGTGAGGGTTTGGTGACCCTCCCGACCTTCCTTCTGAGAAGGAATGCTAGCAGTCCTCAGAGCAGCTGTGATTATCCCTTGCAAGCAGACCCATCTGGTCTTAGGAAGATGGTGGCTGTTCCGCTCAGGAGAAACCTGTGCAAGATGGAGGGAGTGAATGCCTGGAGCACATTGAGCACCTACAGCAAGTTTCCATGCCATATCTCTCCGTGATAAGACCTGGCAGGGAGAACAAGAGAAGCCCCCTGACTGCAGACAGTTGGCTGTATCATGGGAAGTATACATTTCTGACTCTCCTTTCTTCCTGGCATATAGTGCTAAGCCACAGAATCAAGAACCCCTCTCCCCAAAGAACTTTCAAGTTATCTAGCTGAGGCTATCTCAGAATGCACTGTTTATTCCAGGCTAGTCTTGAACTAACAATTCTCTCTCCTCATTCTTCTTCATATTGGCATTATTGGTATGTGTTCATTATTACTTTTTTGTTTTGTTTTGTTTTTGAGACAGGGTTTCTCTGTGTAGTCCTGACCATCTCAGAACTCACTCTGTAGACCAAGCTGGCCTTGAACTTAGAGATGCTCCTGCCTCTTCTTTCTTTGGAATACTGGGTTTAAAGGTGTGCACCATCACCGTCTGGCTGCTAAGCCTTTTTAAAGTTTCACTGTGGCAGGGTGTGGTGGCAAATGATTTAATCGTAGCTTTTGGGAAGCAGAGGCAGGCAGATCTGTGTAAATTCGAGGCTATTCTGGTCTATGTTGTAAGACTCTGACTCAGTAAAACAAGACAAAGTCTCACTCAAGATTCTAGAGTCTAGAAGGGTAGCAAGCCAAGGTAGTCTGTGTAGGGTAAAAAGGCCAGCCAAAGAAACACAGCCTGACCCTGAGACCAGAGTCAAAGTAACACACCATGGCCCTGATTCCAGAGCCCAGGAAACACACTCTGTCCCTAATCCCATCCCCATCTGCTACAAGCTCAGTATGCCTCCTGGGAATTTCTTTCCCTAGAAACAAAAGTCACTGTCCTTAGTTTGTACTGTGATAGGTCTTTTGGTCCCAGCTCTTTTTAAATCAAACCTTTGAGATCAGAGATAAAGGGCTTATTGATGGCTAGCCCATGGAAAAGGATCTCTCCTGGGACATCTCAAGCAACCGACATGAACAGATAGCAGTTAGGAAAATGCCCCCCAGACTTAAGGGGTATGTGGTGGTTTGAGTGAGAATGACCCCATGGGCCCATATATATGAATGTCTGACACCCAGTTGGTAGAACTGCTTGGGAAGAATTAGGAGGTGTGGCCTTGTTGGAGAAGGTGTGTAATTGGTGCTGAGCTTTGATGTTTCAAAAGTCCACACCAGGCTCCATGTCTCCCTCTTTTCATGTAACTTGTGGATCAGAAGTGAGCTCTCAGCTCCTTTTCCAGTACCGTGACTACCTACCACCATGCTCCCTGTCATAATGATCATGGACTAAGCCTCTGAAACTGTAAACAAGCCCCCAATGAAATGTCTTCTTTCATAAGCTACTTGGTCATGGTGTTCTTTACAGCAACAGAAAAATAACAAGACAGTGTATGGTTAGTGTGTCAAAATCATCAATTTGGCCTTACTGTCCTTAAACAGAATGGCATATTGTAACACACCCTTTAAGGAAATGGAACAGACAATAATGGTAGTATCCAAGTTGTTTCAAAATAGTCAGTGTCAAAATTCTTTTTTTTTTGAGGAGGGGGAGGCCTACCTCTGCCTCCTGAGTGCTGGGATTAAAGGCGTGAGCCACCAACACCCGGCTGGTGGTGTGTATCTCTTAATCATAGTACTTGACAGGCTGAGGCAGGAGGATCACAAATGTGATGGCAGTTATTGTTACAAAACAAAGCTTTGTGTCAAAATAAAAACAAAAGGTAGTATATGCCTGTAATCCCAGCATTTGGAAAGCTGAGGCAGGAATGCTGTTATGAGTTTATGATCAGCTAGGGCTATATAGCAGAGTCTTATCTTAAAAAAAAAAGACAAAAAAGAAACCAGGACCAGAAGCAGCTGAGGTTCAGAATACTTACTGCTCTTCTAGGTCTGTTTCCTAGAAGCCACCTGGTGGCTCACAATTACCTGTAACTTTGGTTCTAGGGCATCTGATGTCCTCTTCTGGCCTTTGGGGGCCGTGGAGTGCACATAAATTCAAGCAGGCAGACACACATGAAAATAAACATAAGCTTGGAAATGGTGGCCCACACCTTTAATAGCAGCACTTGGGAAGCAGAGGTAGGTGCATCTCTGTGCTTTTGAGGACAGCCTGGTCTACAAAGCTGCACAGAGAAGCCCTGCCTCAAAAACCATTTAAAATACTCATAAATATGATGATGATAATGATGATGATGGTAACGACTCCAAACCAAACAAAAAGTGCAATGACAGTGCTGGGAGTAAAAGCGTGTGCCACTATACTCGGCTTGGTCCGTATTCTTTTTTAGCTTATTATTTATGTGAAAGTATGTGCACACATGTGTTGTGTGGCCACAGAAGCCTGTACAGGGGTTGGATCTTCTGGAGCTGGAGTTTCAGGGAGGTGAGCACTGCTCACTGTAGGTGCCGGAAAATTAGCAGGTGCTCTTCACTACTAAGTCCCTGGAACTTAATATTAAAAAAAGAATGGCGGTCAGAAGACAATTCTGTGGCATCGATTCTCTCCTACCTTTGTATGGACTCCAGGGCTGTCCCCATGTTGTCAGGCTGTGAACTACAGAATGGGTATGAGGACGGCCAGCGCCAAACAAAGAAACCCCGTCTTTTTCCCTTTTTATTCATTCTGTGCTTCCTCTGCGTCCTGTATCCTGACCTCAATCATTTCCCCGTCCCTGCGCATCTGCTCTCTGCCCCTGCACACACCCTGAAATAAAACAAAATTTAAGATAAAAAGGAAAGAAAACAAACGGGAAAAAGTTAAACATCTCACCATGGAGGCTGCGGTGTGATACGGTCTGTCATGCAGGAACCTCCTTTGTCCACGTATCTTTAGTTTCAACTGTTCTTTGCAAAGAGTCATTGGATGGTTTGAGGCCTCTGATGTCTACTCCACCATCAATGGTGGGACCTCAGTGGGCCTCTTATTGGGTACCTGCTGTTGCCCTGTCTTCTGAACATCCTGCAGCTTTGGGTCTTCCAGTTGGGTCCCTTCATGTGCTCCAGCAGATCACAGATGGGGTGGAAGTTGGGGCGGACCAAGTCATAGCCCTGGTTCTGAGTTTGGACAAGTGTAGGGATGGTCTGCCAGCCAGTTCTCCCCTGCCTATGCCACCAGGGGGAGCTCTCCAGCACTGTCCAGGCTAATTCACCTCTTTCAGCAATGACCTAGACTCTCAGGGTAGGTTCTCACACACCTACACCAACAGGGCCAGCCCTACTGTGTTGCCCAGGTGAGCTACAAGAGCCACTCTTCAGAGTGATACAGTTAGTGAGGGGTAGGGACAGCCAGTCACTCTTATGACTCCAGGGCCAGCTCCTCCACCTGTCTCAAGCACTGATTGGCAGGAGGCAGGGGAGGGCATCTCTCTTCTGCTAATGCTACCGCATGTATGATGAGTAATGGGGACAGCTCTCCGTTGCTCATAACATCAGGTCTGGGTCACCCTCCCCTCCAACCACTGGGCTGTGCTGCCAAGGCAGGGGCAGGGAGCATTTCCTGAGTAGGGCAGCTGGTAATAGAGAGGGTCTGCTCTTTCGTCTACTGCAGTTGGCAAGGAGTGAGGGGTAAAGGGGGCATCTCTCACCTTCACACACTGCCAGCTGACAGACAAGTAGTGGGGACAGTTCTCTCTGTGTACAGCTTCAGGGCCGGCTCACCCACTCTTCTGCCAACAAGGTTGGCTCTATTGTGTTGCTCAGATGAGACACAAGGTTCTGTGACGCGGTACCACATTCAACATCTTGCTTGGGCCGCAGTGGTCTGCCTCCCCAGGGAACGGCCCGGCCACCCCTTCCTCCTCCTCTGGTCGTCTGCATGTATCTGCCCTGCAGACGGCACAGCTTCTGCTGTTTCCCCACAGAACGACTCCCCGATTGCAACCCAGCAGCCTTGCCTGCCCCACAGCCAGACTCACCCTGCCCTGGCTAGCAGCCTTTTGACTCTGTTCAATGTTGTGTTAGTTTAGTCCGAGGATTGGTTTGAATAAATTGCTCTTGTTTGTGTTTCATTGTCTGAATCGTGGATATGACGTCCACTCTGCATGCATGTACTGGGCCTAGGGGATCGGCTAGGTGGGAGAGGCTACGTGGAGACAGACCATCCTGGAGAAAGGGAGATAAAAGCCCCGGCCTTGACAGAGGCCAGCCGAATGCCTGGGAGTGGTGCAACAAGTCCGCATAGCTGTGGCTGGCTGCCATTGGCTGGGGTCCTGACGGCCAGGGTGATGTGCTTAGAGGTCAGGCGACCAGGTGTCCCTCCAAGGGGTTTCTCCTTGCGTTGCAGGCTCCTGTAGCTGGGTAGCAGCAAAGTTTCAGAGGCCTATGAGGACCAACTCTAATGTCACGAGATCCCTGCTTGCTCTGAGCCCAGGGCCATGTCCACACTTACCCTTTCTGAGGAGAGGATGTGGGGGGTGGTGGTAGAATTGAGGTTAGTGGGGGCGTGGTGTGCGCGAGAGGAGAGAGGAGAGAGGAGAAACTGTAGTTGAGATGCAAAAGAAATGAAACAAAAGGATGAATAAAATGACCAGAAACCAAAACAACAACAACAACAACAACAATAATAATGCTAATAATTGCAGTGCCCTGAAGGTGGCTGAGTCTTCTACAGGTATTGTCACGGGCTGTGTGCTTTTCCTCCTACAGGGGGCAGTGTTGAGGCTCAGCAGCCAATGGGAAATTTGGAAAGTGTGGGGGAGGGCTTCTGAAGGCTCCACGCCTTGGGTCTGGATCTCTCTCCAGTGTCTCTCCCTGCACTGATTCCCTTGCTGGCACACATTCGGCATAGAGGAGGTGACATCAGCCACAGGTGCTATGTGCCTAGAGTTGCACGGGCCTGTAACAGAAGCCATGGAAACATAGCCAAGAGCAGTTAAGGGAGGAGGAGCCCTGCCATGGCCTTCTATGTCAACGGATCACAGGGTTTTAGTTCACTCTACAATTGCTCCGCTCTGGGCCCCGGGGGTGGAGGTCACCTTTAGTACCCAGTAATCAGGAGGCAGAAGCAGATGGATCGTTCTGAGTTCAAGACCAGTCTCGTAGACAGATTGAGTTCCAGCACAGCCAGGGCTATAGAAAGAAACCTTGTCTCAAAAATCAAATCACAATCATTAAACATTTTGAAAACTTGAAAAATAAAGTTTCAACGTGTCGTTCCCTGTGAAGTCCCAACACACAGATATGATTGGTGCTCATGTTTAACACAAAACACACGCACAGTAGCAAGGACTCAAGGCCACATGGCTGGGGTTCACGGTGTGCGAGGGCAATAGGAGTGAGTTGAGGATTAGGGTGCACATGCTGGTCCAAGGTTGGGACTCAGGTGGCAAAGCTGAGGTGCTGCCTGTTCCCAGACATCCCCGTGAGCCGTGGATCGGGAAGCACGTGTGTAAGTGTGTCGATTAGTGCAGCTGGGAGGAGGGAGAGGCCCGGGGGGACTCTAGGATGAGCCCCATGTGAGGAGGAGAGTCTGACAGGGGACCCCAGTAGTGACCTCACACCCTTAGTGATGACCCAACAATGCAGAACCCTGCAAGCAGTGAGCCAACTGCTGAGAGACAGCCCAGCAGGCTCACTTGTCTTGAGACACAAGAGAAAGCACAATGTTTTCGTCCTGTCTTGGGAATACTCGCGAAAGAGGCTCAGACCGCAAGAAGGAAGAAAGGGGAGGCCGTAGTGGTGCCTGGAGACGACGGGCACGCTCCTGGCTCCACGGCCTCTGGCCATTTGGCCGGAGAGGGACAAACTTGAGCCAGGGCAGCCAGGGCAGCCATGGCAGCCAGGGCAGCCAGGGCAGTCAGGGAAGCCAGGGCCGCCAGGGAAACCAGGGCAACCAGGCAAGCCAGGGCAGCCAGGAAAGCCAGGGCAGCCAGGAAAGCCAGAGCAGCCAGGACTGCCAAGTTAGCCAGGGCAGCCTGGGAAGCCAGGGAAATCAAGGCAGCCAGGGCAACGAGGGAAGCCAAGCCATCCTGGTCAGCCAGGGAAGCCACGGAAGTGAGGGCAGCCAGGGCAGCCAGGGCAGCCAAGGCAACCAGGGCAACCAGGGCAACCAGGGAAGCCTGGGAATGCAGGGACACCAGGGAAGACAGCAAAGCGAGGGCAGCCAGGAAAGCCAGGGCAGCCAGGGAAGCCTGGGAAGCCAGGAAAATCAGGGCAGGCATGGCAACCAGGGAACCCAGGGCAGCCTGGGCAGCCAGGGAAGCCACAGGAGCCAGGTGTGCCAGGGCATCCAGGTCCAGGGCGACACGGACCAGGTGAGCACTGTTTGATCTCAGAGTTTCGCCCAGGTTCATTCTGGGTCTTTGGCAGTGAGGAGGTTCAGGAACAGCTGCAACGATGACAACCAGTCAGAAGGTCGCAGTCCTGTGCCTGTCTGAACCATGCACCTTGATCTCTCCTCAGGTCGGGGTGGAGTCTGCCCCTGAGGAGCTGAACGAGTCCCCTAGAATGCCCCATTTCGGGCCCCTGGAACAGATGTCGGCCCTCCTGGTGACGTCCCTGCAGGGTGGAGACTCCTTCTTTGTGTTTGTCTTCTACTGCATACACCAAAAGTTTCTCACCACTCAGCATGTGCTGGACCTGCTGTTCAGGCGGTGAGTGCCCACCTCCGAGCTCAGAGGCCTCAGATCCTCTTGTTGGCTGTGGGAAGCGCTCTGCCTTTCTCAGAGCCTACTGAGTGTCTAGGGTCTCCTCAGGACCCAACAGCATGCAGTCAGAAAATGCTTCCTCCAGGCTTTGCCCTAGGGACTGGCCTGTCCGCAGCTGAGAGCCTAACCAGTGTGGGTGTCCTCTGAACGCTGACGAAGCTCTGTACCCTTGGCCCAGTTTTACCTGAGGCCTTGGTCAAAGCACTCCTCCCATTGTGAAGGGGGTCCTAGACTCCATTTTGGAGTGGCGAAGAGAGCTGCGTCCAGAGTGGAGAGCCGTGGACGGTAATGCGAGGGAGGCACCCTGTGTCCGCTGAGGTGTCTGGATAGAGATGTTTGTGATCACCCACCCACTGCACAAACATATGAGAAGCAGCTCCTTGTATGCAGGGGAGCCAGTCATTCTTAGAGCAGACAGAACTTCTAGGCTCTGGAGTTTGATTCCTCTGCAGAAATGCGCAGGCCCCCCAGGTGTCTTTTCTGTGGTATACCTGGGGCTCTCCTGGTGACATCACCCTTCCTGGTCTCCTCTAGATACACATCCTTCCAGGCCGACTCTGAAGAGGATGAACGAGTAAAATAGTAAGTGGGCTCTGGAACGAGACAAGTGCCGCCTAGGCTCTCCAGAGCCGGCTCAATTGGGTTCTAAGGGCAAGGGATGGCCGATGCTTGGGTCTCAGCATCTTCGGGTCTACTACCATATGGAGGTCTAAGCCTTGCCTGGAGGCTGAGGAGAACCTTCCGGGCAGGGTCCTCGAAAGTGGGGATATGGGGAAGCCTAGGGCCTCCAGTGCCCCTGGGAGACTCTACCCTCGTCTCAGTCCGTGGTGTGCCGGCTGGGTCAGCTGTGCTGCATCAGAGCCCGAGATAGAGGTGTGTGGAGCTCCCTGCTCACACAGACCTCGCAAGGGCAGGATCTCTTCCACCTTGCGGTCGGTCTCACACCCGCAGAGCTCTCCCTCGGAGGGCTGGCAAAGGAAAGAGCAGGCCACCGACTGGGCTGTCTGTCCCTTTCTGCCAGCACCATCTGTTCCCTCCTGGACTACTGGATCGACAAGTTCCCTGAGGAGTTTTGCAGGATCGAACACCTGCCCATTCTGAAGCGGGTGAAGGATTACTTGAGCGTGAACATGCCCTCCTCAGACCTTCTGGTGCGTGTCCAGTCTCTCCAGGAAAATTTGCTGTCACAAGTGGCCAGCGATTCAGGGGCCAGCGATGAGGAAGCCTCAGGGTAGGTGCTTGAGAGCCTGGGAGCAGGGTTCAGGACCTGGAGTGCTGTGGGGATCCTCTGAGAGCTTCCTCTGTGCAGGAGCTACCGATGGACTCTAAGCCGGGCACAAGTCCTTTCTGAGGATAGATTCTGTCTGGGACTCCGGGCAGACATGGTCTCCTCTCTGTCGGGAATGGCTCATTCTAGGCACGTCGTCTCCTCCTGTAGGTCCACGGCCACGTCCCCTCCTAGAGACGCCGGCTTGAGCAACACACCTGTGTGCAATCTTAGGCCCGGGCAGCGGCGCCTCCGCAGATCCAGTGCTCCCAGTGTGTTGACCAGCAATGGCGACGGCTACTCTGGAGCCAGAAGCAGCCTGTGCACTGGAGCCGGAGAGCACAAAACCGACACAAGGTTCTGTGACCCGTGTGCAGCTGGAGCCACATGTGGCGGCAGCAGCGGGCTCATCGCCACCCACTGAAGCTGTCGCTGTTGGCCGTGAGGGCAGAGGCGGTACCACATTCAACATCTTGCTTGGGCCGCAGTGGTCTGCCTCCCCAGGGAACGGCCCGGCCACCCCTTCCTCCTCCTCTGGTCGTCTGCATGTATCTGCCCTGCAGACGGCACAGCTTCTGCTGTTTCCCCACAGAACGACTCCCCGATTGCAACCCAGCAGCCTTGCCAGCCCCACAGCCAGACTCACCCTGCCCTGGCTAGCAGCCTTTTGACTCTGATCAATGTTGTGTTAGTTTAGTCCGAGGATTGGTTTGAATAAATTGCTCTTGTTTGTGTTTCATTGTCTGAATCGTGGATATGACGTCCACTCTGCATGCATGTACTGGGCCTAGGGGAACGGCTACGTGGGAGAGGCTACGTGGAGACAGACCATCCTGGAGAAAGGCAGATAAAAGCCCCGGCCTTGACAGAGGCCAGCCGAATGCCTGGGAGTGGTGCAACAAGTCCGCATAGCTGTGGCTGGCTGCCATTGGCTGGGGTCCTGACGGCCAGGTCATGTGCTTAGAGGTCAGGCGACCAGGTGTCCCTCCAAGGGGTTTCTCCTTGCGTTGCAGGCTCCTGTAGCTGGGTAGCAGCAAAGTTTCAGGGGCCGATGAGGACCAACTCTAATGTCACGAGATCCCTGCTTGCTCTGAGCCCAGGGCCATGTCCACACTTACCCTTTCTGAGGAGAGGATGTGGGGGGTGGTGGTAGAATTGAGCTTGGGGGTCGTGGGGAGGCATGAGGAGAGAGGAGAGAGGAGAAACTGTAGTTGAGATGCAAAAGAAATGAAACAAAAGGATGAATAAAATGACCAGACACCAAAACAACGAAAACAACAACAACAATAATACTAATAATTGCATTGCCCTGAAGGTGACTGACTCTTCTACTGGTATTGTCACTGGCTGTGTGCTTTTCCTCCTACAGAGGGCAGTGGTGAGGCTCAGCAGCCATTGGGAAGGAAGGAAAGGGGGGGGGCTGCTGAAGGCTCCAGGCCTTGGGTCTGGATCTCTCTCCAGTGTCTCTCCCTGCACTGCTTCCCTTGCTGGCACACATTCGGCATAGAGGAGGTGACAGAGCCACAGGTGCCTAGGTGCCTAGAGTTGCACGGGCCTGTCACAGAAGCCGTGGAAACGTAGCCAAGAGCAGTAAAGGGAGGAGGAGCCCTGCGATGGCCTTCTATGTCGACGGATCACAGGGTTTTAGTTCACTCTACAATTGCCCTGCTCTGGGCCCCGGGGGTGGAGGTCTCCTTTAGTACCCAGTAATCAGGAGGCAGAAGCAGATGGATCGTTCTGAGTTCAAGACCAGTCTCGTCGACAGATTGAGTTCCAGCACAGCCAGGGCTATACAAAGAAACCTTGTCTCAAAAATCAAATCACAATCATTAAAGATTTTGAAAACTTGAAAAATAAAGTTTCAACGTGTCCTTCCCTGTGAAGTCCCAACACACAGAGATAATTGGTGCTCATGTTTAACACAAAACACACGCACAGTAGCGAGGACTCAAGGCCACATGGCTGGGGTTCACGGTGTGCGAGGGCAATAGGAGTGAGTTGAGGACTAGGGTGCACATGCTGGTCCAAGGTAGGGACTCAGGTGGCAAAGCTGAGGTGCTGCCTGTTCCCAGACATCCCCGTGAGCCGTGGATCGGGAAGCACGTGTGTAAGGGTATCCAGTAGTGCAGCTGGGAGGAGGGAGAGGCCCGGGGGGACTCTAGGATGAGCCCCATGTGAGGAGGAGAGTCTGACAGGGGACCCCAGTTGTGACCTCACACCCTTAGTGATGACCCAACAATGCAGAACCCTGCAAGCAGCGAGCCAACTGCTGAGAGACAGCCCGGCAGGCTCACTTGTCTTGAGACACGAGAGAAAGCACAATGTTTTCGTCCTGTCTCGGGAATACTCGCGAAAGAGGCTCAGACTGCAAGAAGGAAGAAAGGGGAGGCCGTAGTGGTGCCTGGAGACGCCGGGCACGCTCCTGGCTCCACGGCCTCTGGCCATTTGGCCGGAGAGGGACAAACTTGAGCCAGGGCAGCCAGGGCAGCCAGGGGAAGCCATGGCAGCCAGGGCAGCCAGGGCAGTCAGGGAAGCCAGGGCCGCCAGGGAAACCAGGGCAACCAGGCAAGCCAGGGCAGCCAGGAAAGCCAGGGCAGCCAGGAAAGCCAGAGCAGCCAGGACTGCCAAGTTAGCCAGGGCAGCCTGGGAAGCCAGGGAAATCAAGGCAGCCAGGGCAACGAGGGAAGCCAAGCCATCCTGGTCAGCCAGGGAAGCCACGGAAGTGAGGGCAGCCAGGGCAGCCAGGGCAGCCAAGGCAACCAGGGCAACCAGGGCAACCAGGGAAGCCTGGGAATGCAAGGACACCAGGGAAGACAGCAAAGCGAGGGCAGCCAGGAAAGTCAGGGCAGCCTGGGAAGCCAGGGAAGCCAGGAAAATCAGGGCAGGCATGGCACACAGGGAACCCAGGGCAACCTGGGCAGCCAGGGAAGCCACAGGAGCCAGGTGTGCCAGGGCATCCAGGTCCAGGGCGACACGGACCAGGTGAGCACTGTTTGATCTCAGAGTTTCGCCCAGGTTCATTCTGGGTCTTTGGCAGTGAGGAGGTTCAGGAACAGCTGCAACGATGACAACCAGTCAGAAGGTCGCAGTCCTGTGCCTGTCTGAACCATGCACCTTGATCTCTCCTCAGGTCGGGGTGGAGTCTGCCCCTGAGGAGCTGAACGAGTCCCCTAGAATGCCCCATTTCGGGCCCCTGGAACAGATGTCGGCCCTCCTGGTGATGTCCCTGCAGGGTGGAGACTCCTTCTTTGTGTTTGTCTTCTACTGCATACACCAAAAGTTTCTCACCACTCAGCAGGTGCTGGACCTGCTGTTCAGGCGGTGAGTGCCCACCTCCGAGCTCAGAGGCCTCAGATCCTCTTGTTGGCTGTGGGAAGCGCTCTGCCTTTCTCAGAGCCTACTGAGTGTCTAGGGTCTCCTCAGGACCCAACAGCATGCAGTCAGAAAATGCTTCCTCCAGGCTTTGCCCTAGGGACTGGCCTGTCAGCAGCTGAGAGCCTAACCAGTGTGGGTGTCCTCTGAACGCTGACGAAGCTCTGTACCCTTGGCCCAGTTTTACCTGAGGCCTTGGTCAAAGCACTCCTCCCATTGTGAAGGGGGTCCTAGACTCCATTTTGGAGTGGCGAAGAGAGCTGCGTCCAGAGTGGAGAGCCGTGGACGGTAATGCGAGGGAGGCACCCTGTGTCCGCTGAGGTGTCTGGATAGAGATGTTTGTGATCATCCATCCACTGCACAAACATATGAGAAGCAGCTCCTCGTATGCAGGGGAGCCAGTCATTCTTAGAGCAGACAGAACTTCTAGGCTCTGGAGTTTGATTCCTCTGCAGAAATGCGCAGGCCCCCCAGGTGTCTTTTCTGTGGTATACCTGGGGCTCTCCTGGTGACATCACCCTTCCTGGTCTCCTCTAGATACACATCCTTCCAGGCCGACTCTGAAGAGGATGAACGAGTAAAATAGTAAGTGGGCTCTGGAACGAGACAAGTGCCGCCTAGGCTCTCCAGAGCCGGCTCAATTGGGTTCTAAGGGCAAGGGATGGCCGATGCTTGGGTCTCAGCATCTTCGGGTCTACTACCATATGGAGGTCTAAGCCTTGCCTGGAGGCTGAGGAGAACCTTCCGGGCAGGGTCCTCGAAAGTGGGGATATGGGGAAGCCTAGGGCCTCCAGTGCCCCTGGGAGACTCTACCCTCGTCTCAGTCCGTGGTGTGCCGGCTGGGTCAGCTGTGCTGCATCAGAGCCCGAGATAGAGGTGTGTGGAGCTCCCTGCTCACACAGACCTCGCAAGGGCAGGATCTCTTCCACCTTGCGGTCGGTCTCACACCCGCAGAGCTCTCCCTCGGAGGGCTGGCAAAGGAAAGAGCAGGCCACCGACTGGGCTGTCTGTCCCTTTCTGCCAGCACCATCTGTTCCCTCCTGGACTACTGGATCGACAAGTTCCCTGAGGAGTTTTGCAGGATCGAACACCTGCCCATTCTGAAGCGGGTGAAGGATTACTTGAGCGTGAACATGCCCTCCTCAGACCTTCTGGTGCGTGTCCAGTCTCTCCAGGAAAATTTGCTGTCACAAGTGGCCAGCAATTCAGGGGCCAGCGATGAGGAAGCCTCAGGGTAGGTGCTTGAGAGCCTGGGAGCCGGGTTCAGGACCTGGAGTGCTGTGGGGATCCTCTGAGAGCTTCCTCTGTGCAGGAGCTACCGATGGACTCTAAGCCGGGCACAAGTCCTTTCTGAGGATAGATTCTGTCTGGGACTCCGGGCAGACATGGTCTCCTCTGTGTCGGGAATGGCTCATTCTAGGCACGTCGTCTCCTCCTGTAGGTCCACGGCCACGTCCCCTCCTAGAGACGCCGGCTTGAGCAACACACCTGTGTGCAATCTTAGGCCCGGGCAGCGGCGCCTCCGCAGATCCAGTGCTCCCAGTGTGTTGACCAGCAATGGCGACGGCTACTCTGGAGCCAGAAGCAGCCTGTGCACTGGAGCCGGAGAGCACACAACCGACACAAGGTTCTGTGACCCGTGTGCAGCTGGAGCCACATGTGGCGGCAGCAGCGGGCTCATCGCCACCCACTGAAGCTGTCGCTGTTGGCCGTGAGGGCAGAGGCGGTACCACATTCTACATCTTGCTTGGGCCGCAGTGGTCTGCCTCCCCAGGGAACGGCCCGGCCACCCCTTCCTCCTCCTCTGGTCGTCTGCATGTATCTGCCCTGCAGACGGCACAGCTTCTGCTGTTTCCCCACAGAACGACTCCCCGATTGCAACCCAGCAGCCTTGCCTGCCCCACAGCCAGACTCACCCTGCCCTGGCTAGCAGCCTTTTGACTCTGTTCAATGTTGTGTTAGTTTAGTCCGAGGATTGGTTTGAATAAATTGCTCTTGTTTGTGTTTCATTGTCTGAATCGTGGATATGACGTCCACTCTGCATGCATGTACTGGGCCTAGGGGATCGGCTAGGTGGGAGAGGCTACGTGGAGACAGACCATCCTGGAGAAAGGCAGATAAAAGCCCCGGCCTTGACAGAGGCCAGCCGAATGCCTGGGAGTGGTGCAACAAGTCCGCATAGCTGTGGCTGGCTGCCATTGGCTGGGGTCCTGACGGCCAGGTCATGTGCTTAGAGGTCAGGCGACCAGGTGTCCCTCCAAGGGGTTTCTCCTTGCGTTGCAGGCTCCTGTAGCTGGGTAGCAGCAAAGTTTCAGGGGCCGATGAGGACCAACTCTAATGTCACGAGATCCCTGCTTGCTCTGAGCC